TTTTTTTTTTATTTTTTTTGCTTTTTTTTTTTTTCATACAACTATTATATGTATTGCAATATGTCTTTATATATAGTAGTGTGAATTTTTTTTTTTTTTTTTAGGCTTCACTAGAAGCCATTCATCACTGATTGTTGATGACTTAACAAAATAATTAAACCTGTTTGACTTTTCGCACACACATGTGCAACTATAACTGTATGATGTTATTTTCATTTTTGTCATGGGAAAGAAAAGTGTATGCATGTTTTATTTGTATATAACGTTAAAAAATTTTTTTTTTTTTTTTTGTTTTTTTGCCAAAAAGGTAGAACAGTATCTAACTGTAAATACAGTGCACTTTAAATTGAAAATACAAAAAAAATAGTGAAACAAGTTTAAACAAGTTCTTCGTTCGAATTACACTTCGTAGTTGGACAGCGGAGTGGAGGAGTGTTCCTTTTTAGGGCAGTATATAGAGTTGGTTTATTTTGTGGTGGTGACATCATGTTTGCAAGTTATGGTTCCGTTCCGCCCTCCAATAATCATAGCACAATCGGTGGGGGTTGCTTCAACGGATCGATTTGTGATCCGTTTTTTTTCCTTTTAAGAGGGCCTACCTGATCGTAGATCCTTCATCGTGCAAACGAACCTTTTTGGTTGTAGACGTGGCCAAGTCATCGATGCAAATTTCCCACTCGGTTGCACAACGGGAACAAAGAATTATTTTGAGGAAACCATGTGCGTTTCTGGACTTAGAGGAAAGAAAATCCCTTCGATCCCGAATGACACAAAAACTGTTGTCACTCGTCACTGTGCGCTTTTATTACCTGGAGCCCTTTTTTTTTTTTTTTGGTTTTACCCATTTTATAAAGGGAACGGGGCGTAGAAATACATTACCAATTCGATCCACATTGTCTACTCAAATTTTTGTGACAATAAAGAAGTTACAAATATGAATTATGATAAAAAAATATCCTCCCATGATTTTTTTTTTTTTTTTTTCCGCTGGGTGAGGGGGGCGCTGAGGGCACACACGCAGGAATGGGGGCTAAGGTTATCTTCATTAGTGGGTCATGGGTCATCACAAATGGGGGAGGATAACTCCTAACTATGCTGAATTTTTGCCACGCCCTAGGGAACCATACGAAGGGGAGAAGCACACCCATTATTAGCTGGTCCTTCTCCCAAGGTATACCTGTGTAACCTTGATAGTGGGCATGCTTGTAAGCTCCCATTTGAAAAAACCGTGCATGGTGAAAAATGTACAAAGTAGGAGAAGGGGAAAAAGAACATAAAAAAAAAAAAAAAACAAACAAAATTGTCACTATCGATGCAGCAAAATATGGGCCAAACGATTATGTACAAAAGGAGAGAATGTCAATTTTCGTCACGCTTCTGTACAACATGCAAAGAGGGCAAGGGATATAAAACGATCTTACACAAATGGAGTGGAAGAAAAGTTGAATAGTGAAGGTGACACTGCATGGGTTTGTCATGCTGTAGGGCCACGGTCACACAATGAGAGAACAGCTCTCGGGTGGAAATCGAACGGGGTAGCAAAACTTCAGGTACAACGGGGCACAAGCGAGCCAGGGTGCTCCCACTCGTGTATGTAAGTAGCCGTGCGTGTGCTGCTAACACAGGCGGTGGTGCTACCATGTTAGGGGGCTAGGAAGAACCATTTGCAGGAGGCGCTCCGGTGCGCACATTTTCACATGTAAGGCGTAACTCCTTGGTTCATCCAACACACACGCGTAGACACAACGTCGAGGAGATGACACGAAGGCGAAGTAACAACCATGCGGCCGAAAGGGTGTTAACTCGTTACCATTATAAAAGAACCCATTATGCGGGGGGACGTGCACTTGACATGCAAGTTTAATCACACAAGTGTAGTGAAGTGGGAGCAGGTAAAGATATCTACTGGGCTAGATATATACACACATCTATGTCGTGAGGAGGGGTAACAATGCATAGGACAAAAGGTGAGTGCTGCGACGGAGGGGCAATTAAAGCAGGGCCGGCATGTAGCTGGGGCCGACTGTTAAAGACAAAACAATAAAATGGGAAAAAATGAAAAAACAACAATGGACAGTTCGCTTCGTATGGCGGTAACAACTTTTGAGACACCCCAAATGAAGCACAAAAAATATGTAGTAAAATAAAGTAGGATAAATGACCCGCGGCGACATTGCTGACGGGCACTTGACCATCTGTTCGCAAAAAAAAGGGAGAAAGAACTACGCGTGAATGTCACTGTCGAGTGCTATCGCTATGCAGGGGGACGGAAACACAGAGGAGAGCACATCTTGGAAGGCTCACAAGAAATGAAGCCCATCGTTCGGGGAGTCCCTTTACCCTGTTTTCATAACACACCAGTGTTTGTTTCTGGCATCTCCCCCATGGGGTAGTCACCTGTATCCATTTTAATATGACATTTGGTTTGGCTCTGTTTGGTATGTGCGCCACTTGTTAGTCATTCCCGAGTGTTGTTGTGGTTCGATCTTCACTCTAGAACGGTCGCCGAACTGTGCTGTAACATAAAGGTGAATCGCTACTGTGGAAGAGGTTATACTATGCATAGCTATTTTAGAGCCATGTTCAAAATTGTAGTTAATTTTCTCTGAACATAGTGGGAACCATTTTTTCAATTTTATTTTTGTAAGCCCTGCGATAGTTTACATATATCGGTGGAGCCTTATTTTTTGTTGGGGACATATTTCTGGCGCCGTTTTCAGGGATCCTATTACTGCTGGTGGAGGTTCTCGCCAAAGTGACATGCAGCCCGTCATGCTGACTATCACTGTGCATGCCATTTTTGTGTCCCTCGTGGAGAGTCATTTGCTCTTCCTGTGTTTCATTCAAACTGTTGGATGTCTCATACACATTAGTCACTTGGCAAGGTTCATACGCATTGGTTGGCAGATTGGCATAACACGTGCTGGAATTTCTGTCCTTGGTGATCACTTCAACGATGTCTTCTTCACTGCTGTTTGTTTGGTTGCCCTTATCATTTAACACAATAGTGTTTCGTAATTCGTTAGAGTGGTGGTATACAAGGGGGAGAAGAGAACGAGGCAGAGGCTGTGGAAGAAAAATTACTTTGTGTCTCCCTCCTTTGTGTGAAAGAGCGAGATGACTATGTGGTATGTGAAGGTGTTTAGTTGGAGAAAAATCATATCCCCTTTTATACTCTTGGTCAATTTGAATCGTCCTCATAGGATCCTTCTGCGGGATTATACACATAGGGGGACAGGAAAATATTTCTGACAAATTTTTTGTTGGTATGTATTCTACACTTTTTTCTTTCGTGGTGGTGTGTTCCTTTCTGTTGAAGAGTCTGTCTATCTCGCCGTTTGTTTCGTTCACTTCTTTATCATTCGCTACGTAGTACATGGGAAACGGATTATCAATTGGAGGAAGCTGATCAAATGATTTCCCTTTCATGGTGAAATTTCTTTTTTTCTTTTCAATTAAATGTTCGAACAGTTCTACAAAGTTGTTGCAGTCTGGAGGGGGTTCATCGTCTGGGTGGACGGAAATAGGATCAAGGGTTGCAGTGAGGAGGTGGTTATTATCACGACTGCGTAAATTCTGTTGAGTAAGGATATATCGGTGAGCTCTTCCATTGTTATATTTTTTACTCTCGTGCAGATCTGCACCATTGACTTTTCCCTTCACATTTGTCAACAGTTTTCCCGTTTTTGTGCGAACAGGTCGTATCGTTCGTGCACTCTCCGCTTTTTCATCCTCCTCTCTCGGGTCATCTTCCCTGGACACTTCCCCCCATACTTCCACCTCCTCTTCGTCGTCCTCTCCCCTTCTCATCTTCTGCGCGTGTCGAACGGATGCTGTTCCCTCACCGGGGTGTATGCAGCCACCGTCACCGTTACATTTACCGTCACGGTCATTGTGGGTGTTGGTAAAGTGGTGAGATATCCTTGGGGTGTGTTTGCTGTCCTCTTCCTCGTAATAAATGACCGGATGGCTTTTCCCCTCAAAGTCGTTGTCCATAGAGGACGACGTGACAAGCACCTTCTCGTCACACACAGGTAGCGTGCCCCCGTTGAGGTTATCCCCTGGGCCATATGGGAACTTCTCGAGGGAGGTAGACAATCCTGGATGGGGGAGGATGCCCTTGCCCACCACGTAGTAATTTTTTATCCCTTGGTTGATGAGGTAGTAGTATCTTTGCTCATTGGAGTGCGACACAAAGGGGTGTAAATGTTTTTTCTGGTACACGTGTTGGTGCATATGGTATGGGAGGATGACATGACAATTCCTGTCCTCATAACAAGGTCTTTTATTCTTCAGGTAAGTTGCATCATGCAACGGGTTCTGATTCAGGTGATAATGTGATAGGTACTCTCTCTCAGATGCACAGAGGTTGATGTTTCTCCCCAACATATTGAAATATCTTAACCAAGGATGATGCGATGCGATCACAGAATTTGGCATGCGTTCAGCTGGGTCAAACTGCAACAACTTCTCACATAGGTCCCTTGCCAAGGGGTAACTATTAAAAGAAAGCAAGCTAAAATTAATTCCTTTCTTTTCCTTCTTTAAAATAATATCCTTTGTATTTTTGTAATTCACCATTAGACACATGGGCAAAGGGGTAATGCCCGTCATCAGAATGTAAAAAATAATTCCTATGGACCACATGTCTGATAGGATTGAATAATTATGCCCTTTAATTATTTCAGGAGCAATGTAGCCGTATGTGCCAACAAGCTTCATGTGTTTCTTTCCTGAGGAGGATTTGGTTCGTGGTTGTTGTCGTCCGGAGTGATGGGACAAGTTAGATGTACCGCTTCTCTGCTCTTGCGTGCTATTCCCATTTGTACTTCTCTCACTAAAGCGTTTAGAACACCCTTTACGCATTTCCCCAGGAAGAAAAGAACCTTTGTTCTGTTCCATTTTTTTTACTTCATCATGTGTGCACAATTTGGTGCAAGCACTCGGTGTGCCGTTTGTACTGGAAGATGGAGAAACGCTCCTGCGCATATTGGCAGATGCAGGAGAGTAATACAAACCATGGACATGGTCATACGTGGGAGGATAAACAAACTGACAAGTGTCAAAATCGATTAGAACTAATTCATAATTATATTCATACGTTTTGTCCTTCCTCTTTTTATTTCTAAACATAAGATTCTCCGGTTTTATATCCCTATGTATAATATTATGGTGGTGCAGGTAATTCACGGCTTGGAATATCTGGCTCAGTATATATTTGCACACACTTTCCTTGACCTGTTTTTTGTAAACCAAAAAGCTGAAGAGCTCCTTCCCATGTAGCTTTTCCATAATCATATAGAAATTCTTATCATCATCGTATATGTCGTATATCTTCATAAGATTTTTGTGTTCCTTTAGAGATATGATGTGCTCAATCATGTACTCCCATGTATCTCCAAATGCACTGATGACTTTTTTTTTATTTACAATTTTCATTATTTTGTTTGTATTGTCTTTTTTGTCTACTATGTTCAGGAGGACTGCTCTGTCGAAGGGCAGGTCCATTTCCCTCAGACACTGCTTCGTATGTTGCACGTAGTTTTTGTACAGGTTGGAGTGGTTCGGCGAAGAGCCCTTTTCGCTGTCCGCCGTGGGGCCATCCCCCAAATCATCAACGCTGTCGCTGACGCTTGCGTCTACCTTTATCCCGCCTCCATTATGATCGTTGGTTTGTTCCAGTTGAACCGATCCCCTGTCTAATTCGGATTCATCTTGTCCTGGTTCCCTCTTCGTAATGGCCTGTGGCAACTCCTCCTTCCCTTTCGTCTTGTTCTTTTCTTCATCCTGTTTTGGCAACAAGGTTGAAAAAATACTCTCATGTTGCTTTACGAGAAATTCTTCACATATGGGTAGGAAGTTCCTTATGACGAAGAGGTCTTCTATTTTCCTATTCTTCAGCTTGATGATTTTTTTTTTGTTTCGGTATTGGTTAAAAGCACTCGTGTTAGGATAGGTATAAACTCTGGCACTGGAATTGGCACTCGAATTGACGCCCACGTTGGCGCTTCCAAATTGGGGAGTTTCCATATCGGGGATTTTTCGCTTTTTCTTCTTTTCAGAAATATCCTGGACGACTCCGTTGCTCTCCATTGTAGGGCGAGGAATATTGGCACAGGAAAAAACGTATACTTTATGCACACGCACTCATGTACGTCGCTGAGTTGGCCAAGTGCACGTACACTCTCAACTCCTTTCAACGTGTGTGTTTTGTGTGTGCCTTGAAGCGACTCCCCACTGTTCCAATCAAAAGAAAAATGTCTTCTCTTCACATAACACGTATGTAGGCACAAGGTTCTTGTTCAGGTCTTGCTGACGGATCGAGCAATGATAAAATGCAACACACAGAAGTGTCCCCCTGCGTTTTTACAAAATGATGGTTCCGTTGTAGCTACCCTTTTTGTAAAAAAAAATTATTTTTAACGTGACTTGTTTTAAATTCGTGTGTAGCCTCTTGAGGAACAAAGGTATACCCATGTACATACATGCATATATCTACACTCACACACACACACAAAAAAAAGAAAAGGTGAGGGTCAGTTGAGGGGGGACATAGAATGGCAGTGGTTTTCCCAGATGACTTCATGCGTCAATTACTGAGCATAAAAAAATACGTGTGGAGAATTATACACAATGTAGAATATGTACACAATAAGGGAAAATTACACTTTTTTTTTTTTTTTTTTTTCTTTTATTGTGCTTTCCTCTTTCGAGTAATCCACAGCCTTCTGTGTGACAAAAATTGTTTATTGGTGAATGGATTATAAAAATTAAATTATTGGCGGGGAAGACAAAAAAAAAAAAAGGGAAAGGGGAGGGGCGGAAATTATTTAATTAAAATCGGTGCTGCTGCTCCTTCGGGCGCGCCACTGTCACTGATGATGCGGGGTACGCCAAAGTTTTGCCCACCAAATAGAAATTAAAAAACGGGGCTCACTACGTTTCTACATGCAAGAAATCGATTCACGTGAGTACGTACATGGTCGGAATGGGAAAATTGCGTGTACACAGGTTGAGATTACATAGGCGTACAGCTGGTGCGCTAGGCCTGCTATATTTTTCTAAGAGGATGTTCAAAGAAAAAAGTGTATTCTCCTAAGTCCTCTCTTATATTGAGGTAATAAACAACAAAAAAAAGAAAAACAAAAAAATTGCCATACAAAATAGTAATTATAAGTACAAATGTATATGTCACTTAAGGCATGTCTGATTTAGGGTTACACCATTGGAGGTACAGCACATACATAGGGAGATACCCCTGGAGTGAGATTCTTCAAATATAAATAAGCATAAAATGGGAGAAGAACAAACGGAATGAAGCAGCTGTGGGAAGCGAAAGACAAGCACGGTATAGGCACTCTAATGGGTGCAGTGTTTATTTACTCTAGCTTCCCTAGCGCCCTATTTAATGTGCCCTGGGGGATGCTGTACGCGTGTGTGTACGCATGCATGCACGTTCCCTCGTGCCGGGGCAGTAATCACGTGTAAGCTACTGTACTCCAATTCACAAAAAAAGAGACAGTAATATGTTTACAAAAATGGAAAATAAAAAAAAAAAAATGAATCCATATATTTATTAATTCAATTAAGCAAAACTTGTTTTTTTTTTTTTTTTTTTTTTTTTTTTT